GAGATATATATTTGATACATTTGACAAAGTTAGAAGATGGTAATATATAAATTCAGACTGCATATGTATACAAAATACCAAAAGAAACCACCTAGAACTGCATAAATTATGTAGTCATGGAAGTCACGTTTTTACGATTTAATGGGTTTTAATGGGTTTAATGGGGGCCCATAGATCAGGGGATCTCTGATCTGCCAACGTCAACGATCTGCCATCTCAACCGTACCGTTGCCAAACAGGCCTTACACGGGCTAAGTCCTTTTGAGGGTATCGAGGAACGATGGCAGTTAGAGCGCTCAATTGATCTATACCGAAGCATTGGTCAATTGATGGGTGTTGTCGAGTTATAATCAAGTAAGAAGTCACACTGGTAATCCCAAGGTAAACGCAAGTAACAATGTATAATTGAAGACGAAGAACCAAACTAGATACATGAATGAGTGTCCTTATATATCCCTGGGTTCTTCCTGTGTAGATGGGTAGATAGTAGAATGGTAGAAATGCCTTGGCACCATCTACTGTTCTACCATCTACTGTTCTACCATCTACTGTTCTACCATCTACTGTTCTACCATCTACTGTTCTACCATCTACTGTTCTACTACCTGCATGGTCACGTGATTTGACCATGAAGGCGGTGTGGTTTTTCCCCCTGAAAAACCATCTCCCAGGACCGGTAAGGCGGTGTGAACGGGTAAGACCTGGTTGATTGGATCTCGGCGGCCCGTCCGTGTCACATGTGGGGTCGCCATCGATTGGCAACTAGCATGTCCATAACACTGAATCCAATTGAAGAGTTCTTTACTGAACTAAAAGGCTTCATTAGACGCAATTAGACGTACTATACAGAAGATCCCGACCGAGAATTTGGGTCATTTCTCGAGCGGTGTATTAATCAAGTCGGGATAAGAGAGGATAGTGCTCGTGGCCATTTTCGGCATATAGGTGTAACTATTAAGGACCTAGATGGTTGACGTGTCCGTCGTCGACGCTATAACATCATGCGAGTTCAATATATACAATGTCTGCACGAACCTTCCCAATACAACAAAGCCAGTAAACCACCACAGCTAAATTCGATACTAGCTATCGTGATTTTATAGAGACGAATTACTTCTGAAACCCTAAGTCGAAACGCAGTGACACTCTATGCTGAACATAGTTCTAATGTTAGGACATCCTAGCCAAAGTTACGAAGTAAGGTTCTCTCGAAGCATCGTCACAGGAGGTGTAAGTTAGGCGTGCAGAAGCCAAAGGGCTGTCTAAATGGTGGTTGATCGCAAATTCAATTAAACTATCAAATATAGTGGTGCTTACCTAAGGCAGAATAAACAAGAGGAAGAATCAATCATGCTTCAATAGCCAGATCCCTAGTTTCCCATGCCAACAGAGTGTCGGAATTGGACATAGCGCCGGGATGACCAGGACCTAAAATCCGTTGCTGCTTGGAAACGCAGGCTCTAAGCAAATCGATAGCTTCCGAAGGTCGACCACTAGATTTCAAAGTGAAAGCTAGGTTGGCCATGCTTATCAGCGTGGAGGGATGGTCAGCGCCGAGCTTGGTCTTGCGAGTCTCCATCACCTGCACTTCAAGCTGCTCGGCCTCCTCCCACCGGCCCTGGTTCCAGTACGTCGACGCGAGGTTGGCCATGCTCGTCAGCGTGTTAGGATGGTCAGCGCCGAGCTTGGTCTTGCGAGTCTCCATCACCTGTACCTCGAGCCGCTCCGCCTTCTCCCACCACCCTTCTAAACTGTATGCTTCTGCTAATATTGCCGTACTATTAAGGGTCTCCTCGCTCTCTTCACCGAAAATTTTCAATCTATACTTTCTTGACTTCGATGCCATTTCCCTAAATTCTGTGATATACCCGCTTTCTTGTGCATACCACGCCCCTCTATAGAGTAGCTCAGTCCATTGCTGAATAGAAACTTGGGATTCTAGTCGTTGCGACACCGCTCCTTTCACGTGTGGAAACAGCGACCGGCATTTCTCCCAATTCTCATATTGACCGGTCGGAAATTCAGAAAATAGTTTCTCGATAAATTGTCCCTTCCAATATTCAAGCTGACTATGAGTCTTTAGCCATGTGCGTACTGTTAGCTGCACTAGTCGATGCATTGTGAAAGATATACTATCTTCTCTGACTGCTATTAATGAAAAGTCACGGAGATTATTATATTTTTTTCAAAATCGGTGTCAGCATCATCATGAGATTCGCTGTCCGTGTCTGAATCGTTTGAACTCTCCTCAAGTAGGCCTAGAGGAAAGCTCTTTCTTTCCTGGTTCGGCTGAGCTAGAAGGATATTCTCGGTGATTCCTTGCCGGTCAAAAAAGCTCATCAAAGACAGCAAGTCCGTTGCGGACGGCCTTCTCCCGCGAATATAATCAAATGATATTTGCCATGTGAGCAGAATGGAGTTCTTGGCCTCCCAGTCTCGGTAAAGCAGACCGGCCTCCTCATTTAGTACCCGCACTGCTTCGTGGTCACTTTTCTGGATTTTTTCGAGGTATTGCGACACTGAACAACGGGGTGATCGATGTGTGATATAACTGGCAGCCTGTACGATTGCGAGTGGCATAAATTCAAGCTCCTGAGCTAGCTGCGCCAAACTCTCGTGCTCTGTTGGGATGCTTAACTTCTTCTGCAGCAGATCCAGCGCTTCAGCTTGGTTCATTGGTTGCACTTCGATGAGATTCCTATGATTCGTGATATCCAGCGCTACTCTCCTATTCCGACTCGTGACAATGATGGACCCACTAGTGCTTCCGAAGAGGTACCTTATCGGCGGTTGCGCCGAGGCATTGCTTTGTATATTGATCTGGTTGCCTGTGCTAGTCGCCCAGGGTCTGCGAAAGAGCTCATCGTCGTCAACATTATCGAGGACGAGAACCCATTTCCCGATCTTTTCATCCTGTAACCAATTTCCGACGAGTTGGAATATATTGACATTGTGAACCTGCCGCCCGGGAATTTTGACCCGATCCGCAAGGTCACGGATACTTTTCTCGCAGCGGGCCACGTTACTTGCATGGATCCAGAAAACCCACGTTTTCGCTGACTGCTGCCGGATCTGGTAAGCGTACTCGATGGCAAGTTGTGTTTTCCTGTTGCTTATCAGCATTGAACGAAATTCTTAAGGAGTTGCTCTGACCCAACACCGCCGAGACCAACGAGAGCTATTCGAGATCCTGGGATCGAGGCTTTTTCGTGAATCTGATCGAGGAGTGCATCTCTCCTGACAAAGTCTGGATCATGCGGGAATGGCACAGTCGATAGAGGCTCCGGGCGGGGCTCCAGTCGTTCTGGGGATGGGAAGCCGCTGTTAGTCGACCTCACCAGTCCCATCATCGACACTATTAGAAACTCACCGGCTGGAAAGTTTATCACCCCTTTATTGACCCCCACCTGGTAGCCTAAATTCCCATCGCCAAAATTCACACAGTCCATAGTCAACAGTTGATGAACACGATCCTTGAGGTTTCGTGATGAATAAATTGTCTCAACCCTCAGAAAGATAGTCGTCCTCAGCCTCACCATCAGGTGACTTCTGCGGGAGCTATATTCGCTCTTTATTGGTTGAAAATGCTTGTGGAGGCAGAAACCGAGTCTGATACTTTATTCCTTTGCCTCGCAGACACAGAAGTGCCGAGGCCACTTCACCCAGGTGATCAAATCCCTAATTACTTGCAGGCTAGAGGGGTTTGAGACGGTTTCTCTGTGTTAAACGTGGATGCTAATTCCGAAATTTGCCGTAACCATCAAGCTGACGACTTGTGTGTTGCACCATCATATTGTGGTAGTCTCGAATACTCGAAACGACAGCATAAGAAACGGATCTTCTTGCCCTTTTTAATTGTGAGGTCTGTCTGTGGATATGCAGTTTTGGACACTAATTCCGGAGGAGTGTATTCCGGTTAGATGTGGCCAAAGGCGGTGAGAGCTAACCAGTCGAGCAATCAAGCGCGTTAGATGATTTGAGAGATAAGTGAATTGAAAAGTGCTCAATAAATTATCATATAGGAACCTATGACTCTGTTCTATATATTAATAAATGCCATCCAACCAAAGCCATATCAATCCTTTCCAGCCAATTTTCGTTGCCAATTGGACTTCTACGCCGCACACCCACTATAGCAGAAGATGAAGTGGCTAAGGACGTCACCTGCCTTTTCGAGCGATCTGTTAAGATAAAATCCAAGAACCCTTGAGTGGATATATGTTGTATGTCCTCTTACGCTACTAGGAAGATTCAAAGTTGGCTTTACTATAGGCCCTCCTTACCTGTGACGTTTCCGAGGCAGTTTGGGTTATTGCTCGGGATTGGCCCTAAGTATATGTTTATCAAATGTGCATCTCGGCATTTCTTTGCAGCCATTGCTGTATAGACTCATGGCATCTGCGGCGGTTGCTTGACGCCCGAATCGAACATTTCCGAGACAAGTGCGATGAGGCGCGAGAAGAAGGTTATCAAACCTGTAAAGTCCCTAGTGTCGTCGGTTTCCCTGCTCTCAAGGGTCAGGTTCTGAAGTCTTCGGATCCATGCCTCTTCAGGATTCATCCAGGCGTCGGTCGAACAGTCGACAGAGTCCGTTGAAGACCGGTCTCTTATTTTCCGTCGCTTGGACGGCCCTTGCCACTTTGAAGCACACAATTGAGTGCTGCTCGTCAAGAGAACGACAGCCACGCTTCCGCCTCTTGGTGAGCCCATGTAAGCGTTCCCGATTCTCTTACATGCGCGTAACCAAAGACGGGTTCAGGGTTTACAGTAGTACGCACGTCAGGATTGGAACTGCGCGCTCTTTGGTTCAGTTTGCTGCTTTCTCAATAAGAGGAGCCCGTTTGAACTTGGTCCATTCGAGATTAACTCCTAGTTGGAAGCCGTCGGACTGAGAGTGATTGTCTGAGCAAAGTAGCTGCCCATTACAGGGGTAAAAAGTGACCGCTCTGACAAAGCCCGACCGCTGAGCATGGTCGCAATAACTGGTGTGCCGGCCTCGAGCAATCTGGAGATTACCTAGCTGTTCTCTTCGGGAAGGAGGAATGTCAATGGAAGTATTGATATGACATGTCGGCGGGCAGATATCGTTCTTCTGGGTCATTTGGGATTTCTAGAGAAGCAACAAGAGTGCACTCGGCCTGATATACCCGAGGGGATAGTATGGTGATCGTTAAATAACGTCCGGGCGTGGAAGGTGACGAAGGTGGTTGGGGGAGAGGAAGGTGTCAAGGCCTCAGCAGAGCGAGCAGCAGGATGACGCTTATGAGACCTGAAATGGATGAATGAGCAAGTCTTGGAGGAAGGTGCGATAGAGGGATGAAGGAAGGAACAAGAGCCGAGAGCAGAATATCTTAAATAGACAGGAGTATCGTAAACATCCGTTAGAAACGCTACTACGTAAAGAGGAAACCACTACCCATTGTCGGTTCAGATTAAGGCATTTTGATAGAGATCTACGTCTGTATATGTATCCTGATTTAGGTGAAAGATTGTATAGAAAAGTCGTCCCGCACAAAATCAATTGTTCTCCTGCCTGATCATTATATTATACCTCGCCTAAGTGGCGACGTCTACGTTCGATTGATATGTGTAGCTCCCCGCGCCAAAAGGACTAACAAAAGGATTACTTAAACAGATATAACAAGGCTGTATATTATCGTATCATAACGGCTAATACTCGTGGGGACACATGGAATGTTGCCCAGAGTTGAATATCGATCTGCGTGGAACTAATAATTTGTAGCAACAATGCCATGCTGCTGGGCTTTTATTATAAGAACTGGGATGTCGGGGCAGCTTGCTCCCATTGACTACCTAGGTCGATAGAGCCGTCCGCCCAGGTATGGTAGAGGTCCAATTGGGTTTAGCTTTGGTATGAGGCTTCTCATGGACTACATGATAATCGTTGCCTTCATCACCATCTTAATCCTTTGCCTTCGCACTCAACTTATACCTATGTAAGACTAGTTAGCTGCTTATTGACCAACGGCTCTAGTACAGTGTCATAAGTGTGAGGAAAATCACTAACCCCGTCTTATATGTTGAAAGATCTGGAAGCCTTGTTGTTTCTGGTGCTTGACGAATACCTCACTTGCATCAAGTCAACTCTTGGACAATCTATAGCTGACTGGTGGGGCTGGTCCAGTGGACGGGTCCACGGGTGGTCCACACCTGATTACTCAGCGGCGCCGACGCCAAAACCCGCTGCCATGGGAGAAATATTATCGGGAGCCGAGGCCAAAGGGTATTGATCGGATAAGGATGGCTGCGAGAAGAATATTGTCTGGACATCCTTCTGAACAGTCCAGAGACCGTTGCGGGATCATCTTCCGTGTCCCATTGTCGGGCTTTGGCGCGGCCGAATTGGACGAGTCCTAAACCCGACATTCGGAATGTAGAGAAATGTGTTTCTGATGATGCAATGACTTCCGACTATCCCAGCATTCTAGCTTTTCTTATACCCTATAAAGTCCGAAGCGATTCAAATTGAATATTCCGTGCGAATTGGGAAAGGAAGCTCTTATACCGTCAACATGAACTACCACAATTTGACACAAATTGCTGCAATCTCCTCGTCCTTTTGGCTGTCAGGTATGCGTCTATCGATCTTGAATATAGAAAACACAGGATACTAAACATGTCAATAACACAGGCGAAATATTTACCTACTCTTGGGGCGCAGTGCCTGCAGTCTTGGAGGCCTGTCCAACCTCCCAGCATTTAGCTGCAAAACAATGGGTTGCATTCTATCATAGGGGGCATGCGTTAGGGCCACCTCTCGCCATCCTCGGAGCAGGGGGCTTTATTTGGTTGGCTTTGAAGTCGCATTGTTCGTTGTACTGGGGGGCTGCAATCCTCGATATTGGTATCGTTCCATGGACCCTCCTTTTCATGGTACAAACCAACTCCCGCATATTCGAGTTTGCGAATGTGAAAGACTCGTCGGAAAAGCCGGTCCGTGAGGAAACGCAACTGGCTCCCTTGCTGAACAGATGGGCGGGTCTCAATACAATTCGCTCGCTTTTCCCATTTGCTGGTGGTATTCTTGGATTGATAGCAGCCTTGTGCTAATCCTGTTAACTTCCTGTGCTGGAACAAGCGAGTGCTTTTTCGTTTAGAGACGGCCTGCCATACCGCTAACATAAAAATGAAGACAAAAGTCAACCATGTCCACAGTCCTTTTTGCATTTCATGCATAGTTTGCCTTCGAAGTGACAGACAGTGTGGGAACTTTGTCAGGCTACCTATAGTTAACTATGCATATTGAGCGTCAATAAAATAGATCTTGGCGGTAGGTCAAGCTACTGAATTCAGTAACTATTCAAGAGGCAGGAAAAATCAAAGCACAAGGTAATGCAAGTTGACTCACTAACGGTCAGGACGGGTACCGGTTTGGGCTGTGCCTAGGTGGCTCGTCGTCCAGCCCCTACGCGGTCAGCATTCTTCAGATCTCCTCGGACGGTGACCGCTTGGCGTCAGTGTGGGGTGCTCTAGCACCCGGAATCGGGCCTACTCGAGAGTTACGAGCTCTAGTCCGCACGTCCTGGCGCCGATCTGTTCCCCCCAGCCATTTCACCCGGCTGCCGCCTTCTTGCCTGCCGCTCCGGCAAGGGTGTTGAGGTGTGCGACCTGTTGACAGGCCGGCGCCGGGGTGGTGCGACATGGAAGCGCGGCGGGACTGGGTTCGCGACCGCGGCGGTTTCGGCGGCGGTGGTGCTGGCTGTGCGAATGATCAACGGCGGAGTCACGGTGTATAACGTTCTCGACGAAGGGGAGGAGCCCCCCGTGGAGCTGGATACCCACGAGCAGCCAGCGGAAATTCCAGCGGAGATAAGACCGTTCGAGGTGTCAGGGTAGAAGATCGATGCAAATTGAGATAATTGAGATTGAGGGTATGAGAGGTTTATAGCAGTATGGAACAAAACCTAGATTGGGCTGTCAGCTGGGCAGATATCAATTTTAGATCCTGCACATATTTGAGGTACTATTGGACTTTGTCTTAGGATTTCGACCCTTAAAAAGGAATTAGAAAATGATAGTGTCAGGTTATCCCTGGTGATACATTCCCTGGTAAGGAATAAAATACGGCATTTTACCACTGCCATAACAAAACCAAGGTTCCTGTTTATGGCCTCGGGGGCCATATACCAGTGATTAAAAGTTCACTTTCTTTTCGCCTTTTTCTGCCGTCCACCCGATAAATCTGGGAAGGGGAAAGGTGTCTGAAGAAGACATCAAAAAATTACTACCAAAAATACATGACCGGCTGCATGAGAGGGGGACCATTCTGGATAAATTCTCAACGGCAGTAAATAAATACCTAGGTACTTGTTGGAATAACTACATACGTTATATGCAGTCACTATCAGAGCCACAGACCTTATCTGCGGAATATCCCGGTCCCGACTTGGCATGTGCTTATATAATCACGACCCCTCGACATGTCCCAACCAATTCGGAATATCGGTCTACTGTTCTGTGTAAGACGACCACACCCTTGAATCGGTATCCAAGCCTGCAAGACTTTTGCACAAAGTGACAGGATGGCCAAACCCAACATCAATCGGTATCTCAAGCAGTCGCTCGACCATATATTCCAAAACAACAAGAAATGGGTCTCGTCGAAGAAACAGACAGATGCCACCTTCTTTGACAAGCTTTCTGCTGGGCAATCACCAGACTATCTGTAAGCAAAATAGCTCTGGCCTCGTTCTCTTCAAAGTTGTTCATATCGGAGCGCATCTGACGGCAAATCAGGTACATAGGCTGCAGCGATAGTCGTGTCCCCGCCAACGAAATTATGGGTCTGGAGGCCGGCGAGGTGTTTGTTCACCGTAATATCGCCAACCTGGTGCCCAATGTCGACCTCAATGTCATGTCGGTGATCAACTATGCTGTGCGGCACCTAAAAGTCAAGCATATCATCGTGTGCGGCCACTACAACTGTGGAGGGGTCAAGGCGGCCCTGACACCTGCTGACCTGGGAGTGCTTAACCCATGGCTTCGAAACATCCGTGATGTTTATCGTTTGCACGAGAAGGAACTCGACGGAATACCCGAGGAGCACGCCAGATACAATCGATTGATTGAACTCAATGTGATGGAATCCTGTAGGAATATCATCAAAACCGCGGCTGTCCAGCAAAGCTACCAGGCGAATCAGTACCCCATCGTTCATGGCTGGGTTTTTGATCTGGGCGACGGCCTTCTGAAAGACCTCAAGGTCGATTTCGAAGCTGAGTTGGCGGATGTGCAGAAAATATACTGTCTGTCGCCGGGTTCCAATTCGGAGCATTGAACGATCACGACCACAGTTGTCAACTGCCAGTCAGCACTCAAGCATTCTTTTTGGTTGCTCGGGCTGTATCTTTCAGGCTGTCTTTTGACCCATTTCCCCTGTCTCCATAGAGCAATACAGATGGCTTCATGGCACTGAGTGGTCTCTGTCATAGTCAGTTTTTCTCTTTTATCGATCAGTTCTGTTTCTTGTTTCTTCCTCTTTGTATGCAGTACACACCATGTGCACACGTGCACCACGTAATGAAACCATGCGGAGCTGAAGAATGTCCGTCCTGTCGTAGAGAAGGGAAATGGGAAAGAAATCCATGAAATGAATTGAGCTGTCCACTGAGAGGGAGAGAGAGGAAGGTGAGGCTGCCTCAACACCAGTTCTAGTGTTTCTGATGCCCTTCCAATAATCGATAGGCCTTCTCGGTCTCCGAATCATACACTATCCCATGGATATGCAAGCGCCCTAGCGCAATTGCATCGGTGACTTCGGGAAATTTGCGTAGCGAACGTATCTGATCAAGAATATTCAACTCAACAAAAGAGCGATCCCGCTCCGACACTGGACGTCGATTTATATCTTCGTGCGCCGAATGGAGAGCATTGAGCTTGCTATATAACCGTTAATAGTAAATTCATGGAATCCTTAGGCAGATGACTTACCTCAACCATGGACCTTTCAACCCATCTCTCGAGGTTGTTTTCACAATGCGACATCCGTAATGGCCGCAAACGACGATGTGTTTCGCCTAGACAAGGTAAGACAAACGAACTAGCAATAGATTTAGGGCCACAACCTGAAGGTCAACGACGGCATGTCTTATAGTAGTATCGCAGGACAGGTCGCCATCAATGATCATATTGCCGATATTTCTGAGCACCAGCAATTCGTCATCAAGAATATTAAGCATGGTGCATTCTTTGGAATCACTATCAGAGCATCCAATCCACAGAACCTGCGGTGTTGCCTGTCGAAGGCTAGGTATATAATTTGCCTTAAGAGGCTCGGTAGCCAGCCTTCTGAGTCGTGTTTCGCTCATGCTGTTGCTGTCCAAAAGTGTGAGTAGGTGGTGGTGTTATTGGTAGAATGACCCAGGACTCATGCCGGGAAAGGGCGTATTGCCGGGAATCCAGAGGTACGCAACTTGGAGATTTTGGCAAAACACTGAGTTTTGAAAAAAGGAGTCAAGAGTTAGTAGGGCTGCCGATCGTGCCTATGTATGTTGATGTGGTGGGTAGTAGAACTGCCGGGGCCGATTGTCGGTTCCGAGACATTACCGGTTCGGCCGAAAGCCCCACGTTTGAAACTAAAAACGAACCAAGAGCCAGTGAAAGGAAAAGTATCTACAGGGACGCCGTAGGACCACTTGAGATCTTTGCCTAGAAAGGACCTCGGGAGATGTCCAGGTGTAAATACTGGGGACCTTCCAAGCTTGGGTAAAATGCACGGGACCAATCTGCCATAAGAGGACTAGCGCTCCTTACCTTCCAAGGTTAACGTCAGAGCCTGGGTACACTACTCTACTGCAGCTGTGCCGAGCATCACCAACCATTTCCACACTGTTGCTGATGTGGGATGGTACTCATCTGCATTTCGACTCTGCACCTGCGTGTTCTAATTCGGGTTTGCCAAGCCGTGTAAACACTTCTCGATCAAGATCATCTTCTTGTTAAGCAATGTCATTTTCCTCGTCGGCTCCTTACTCTGTACCACAGCTGCTTCGTCGACTATAAGGGCCAGCAGTGACGGGTCTGGGGTTCTCAGGGGGTTTGGCTGGGTATTTTGCCGTTATAACGCTTATTCTAGCGCTCAACAAGCGGCCCGTATTTGCGGGTTTGATGGCGTGCGTGGAATCGCTTGCAATAATTTTGGCGCCTATAACAGGTGGTGAATTGACGCAGTTTTTAGGATGGAGGTGGTGTCTGGCAATCCAGTCTCAACACAGACACGATCAAGGTAGCTGACAATTGACTTTTTCGCGGGATCAATCTCCCTATTGGTTGTGTGTCGCTGGCGACCCTACTTTTGCTTTTCTCAGATCCGAGAACTAGTGAAGAGGACCTCACATTCGCTCAAAAAATTAGAGAGATCGATCTCATCAGCAAGTTCTTATTCGTCCCATCTTAAACAGCACTTTCCTTGCCCTATCTTCGGCTGGAACAAAATACCCTTGGTCAGATGGGAAAGTGATTGCATTATTCGTTGTTTTTGCTGTTCTACTCGCCGCTTTTCCCTTCAATCAATACCGACGCGCGGAGTCGGCAGCACTCCCTTTCCGGATATTAAAAGCCGAAATGTCATTGCCGGTTTCGTCTTCTCGACGACAAACGTCTCGGCTCGTTCGATCCCAGGTACTATTTCTTGGCCAGTGTTTGACCACAGTACACTCATGTCAACTTTTCAATATTCTAGACCCCAAGCAAGAGCGGCTACCTAATGATGATCCCCGTCCTTGTCGGAATGATGCTCGGCCTCTTCCTTCAGGGTATCGGCACTACGACGTTCGGCTACTATGCCCCCTTCATGATCTTCGCTTCCGTGTGCGTGCCAGGTGCCGCGGGCTTGATGACAACGTATGATCTGCACTTGTCCCTAGCGAAAATCATTATATAGTCCGGATTCGTAGCCCTTACACCTTAACCACAATTTATCGCATTAGGTGGATGGGTGCTCCTCCGCGTACTCATGGTGGTCATCGCTGTACATGTCAGCTCTGTCATATATGTCCTATTTTAACAAGGAAGTAGTAAAGGTTTAGCTTTATAAAAGAAAGAAAGTGGTGAATTTCATTGAAAGATATGAAGGATTGTTTGTTGAAAACAACGAGCCGAACACAATGCTTTCCATACGTCGAGGCACAAAGCTGCTCTGACATGTGGAGATAAGATACCATAGCCAGTCAAACAGCATCATCTTCTGTTTTGAGAAGAGAATCTCAAGATAACACAATGATAAATTTACCCGCAAGCTAGATCTTAGACCATCGCAAGAGCACAGCAGCGATTATGACGGGCAATACGCTAATTAGCTCCCCCAGGCCCGCAAACTCGGGCGGAATTCTGGCGTTGACAAAGGCCCCAGCCGCTAGGAGGACGGCAAATGTGTTGTAGACAAAGCTCCAGACGAAGTTGAATTTGATACGTCTCACAGAGACCTTGCTAGCATCCATCATGGTGAGAAGGCCAGACAGATCTGGACGCATAAGAACGACATCAGCTGCAGACTGGGCAACATCAGTACCTTCGTTCATGTGAACACCGATTGTTGCTTGCGCAAGCGCCACGGCGTCATTAGTGCCATCACCGCAAAAGATGACAATCGGCACCTTACCATGCGAGCAATTGCCCAGGAGGTTTTTGATATAGACCTGCTTGTCCGCCGGAGAGCTGCGGGCATGGACGTTGCCCTCGGGGATTCGTAACTTTGTGGCCACATTTTGCACGGCACCTTCATCATCGCCGGATATCACATGAACCGACACGCCGCGACTCTGCAAAGAATTGACCACGTGGGTTGCATCAGCTCGGAGAGAGTCCTCGAGACCAAAGACTGCAAGTAGCACCCCGTCGATGGCGAAGCAAAACGCGGTATAGCCTTGTGTAAGCACCGGCTGCACCAGGGGATGGGTGGAAAGCCCTAGCCAGCGAGAATTCCCAGCTTGTAGCGTTTGACTAGCTAGGTTCGCTTCCACACCTCGGCCGGTCAAGCTTTTGACGTCGGGGACAGCTGTTGCAACAACCCCCTTTTGCTTAAGATGATTACCAACAGCCACCGAAACCGGGTGCTTGCTGTCGCCGACCAGGCCCAAAAGAATTGACAGGCATGATTCTCCGTTTTCAAGATAGTGCTCAACGACTACGCTGAGCTTTCCTTGGGTCAGGGTTCCTGTCTTGTCAAGGACCATGTGAGAGGCTCTATGGGCAACTTCGATGGAATCTGCGGACTTAAATATCACGCCTCGCTCCGCCGCAATACCACTGCAGATCACAACCACCATCGGTACGGCAAGACCAATGGCGCAAGGGCAGGAGACTATAAGCACTGTGATGGCGTAGGTGATAGCCTGGACGGTCGCTTCGGATCCAGTCTTGCCTTGCATTGCTATGCCAACAGCCACCCAGATAACGAATGTGATGATAGTCAAGGCCACAATGACCGGAACAAAATAGGAAGCCACTTTGTCGGCAAGTTCTTGGATCTTTGGCTTAGAAAGTTTGGCTTCATCAACCATGGCGGCGATAGTGTTAATGGCGTTGTCACCTGGGAGGCGAGTTAACCTGACAAGCAGACTTCCTGAGCCGTTGATTGTCCCTGCAATGACACGGGATTTGGGATTCTTTTCGACAGGTCGGGACTCTCCAGTGAGCATCGACTCGTTCACTTCAGATGAGCCAGATGAAACAGTTCCGTCAGTAGGGATTCTCATATCTGGCAGGACCTTGAACGTGTCCCCGTATTGCAGAAGCCTGACGTCGATTTCTCGAGCCTCTGAAGAGTGTGATTCGTCCACAAGAAGGGCGGTTTGGGCCTGAAGTGAGCGAATGGAGATTGACTCGACCGCCTTTTGTCGGGCAAGCGTGGCGATATATCGTCCGAACATGATCAACGTCACCAGAAGTGTGCTTGTCTCGAAGAACTGGCCAGTAGAAAGAGGTTTACCAGCAACCAGAAAGCCGAAAGAGACCACAGAGAAAATGTATGCCGCGCTGGTACTCAACACGATAAGAAGATCCATCTCAATTACTCGCGAGAAGACAAGAGCCTTCAAAGCTTTGGGGTAGAAAGGTCCTGCTATCAGAACCTGAATGATAGTAGCCAAGGCCAGTGAGGCAGAGCTATAGGCGATTTCTCTCTCTGGGATGGGGGCCCATGCCATCACCAACACTGGGATCGTGAGGACTGCAGATAAGAGAGTCATGAAACCGGAATGGCGGACATGCCTGCTTCCAGCTGCGAGTGCTGGATCACCACAGATGGGCGCAAGCTTTGCTATCCCACCCCAGTGTTTTTCAATGAGATCTCGTGCTCCAACCACTTGTGGATCAAAGGAAACGCGAACGGTACGATCCTCCACGATGGATATGTCAGTTACGCCTTCTGGCCAAGTATGGTTGATGATCGAAAATGGATCACCAGGAACAATGATATCCATAGTTGACCCGTTACCCGTGATAATCTCACATTTGAACTCCGTAGTACGCTCCAAGTGCTTCATGACAAAGTCCACAGTTGAGAGATTGAGGTCCAAGTCGAATTCAGCTCGAGAGAGAACTAGACTTGTCTTCAAGTTCTTGACACCTGTCACTGTCGCGAGCGTTCTGTTGAGTTTCGTCTCGCAGCCAGTGCAAGTCATACCAGATATCGAGAGAACCACATGCTCGACACCTATGGCCTGGCCCTCCAGATCACGAGCAATACTACCAGCCCCACTCTTCTTCTCTTTGGGCGAGGACGGCCTTTTGGAGGTGTAGCAAATATCAGCACAGGAATCATCCGCTGACTTGATTTTCCTCTCGTCTGCTTCAGAGACACACGGACCGGTGAAGTTGTCGCTGGATGTGGTAATATTGGGCTTGCAGCAACCTAGACTGGCACACTTCTCAATACCGCGTACGTTTTTATTCTTTCGGTCCCGATCGGTACTTCGAAGCGGCGATTGACTGGTGGACGTGCCGCTTGTGCTGCGAGATCCAACCGAAACGCGCGATAGAGACTGTCTCAATGGTCGTTCAGAGCACCGCCCCTTCTCCAGCGAAGAGCGCTTTCGAGGCTCGCAGCATGATTCTTTGCCAAGGGCAAGAAGAGCACGGCAGATACATCCGAGTGCTGTAAGCCTAGCAGAATATTGCTCTCTAACCGAGCGACGATGACGGTCGCAAGCTCTACGCTTGGTTTTTGCACGTTCCGCCTGTGTAGATGTCGAAGGCAAAGCTGCGTGGTATCCAAAATCAGTAGAGTAATATGACAATAGGACTTTCCATTCAACATACCGTGTCCAGCTACTGCCATGCAATGGGTGCTGGACCCCGTATCACACTCAAGTAAAGCCAGACGGTCGAGGCAGGTCTCATTACAGCAGGGAGAAGTCTTGCCCTCACAGCACTCTGTCACAATAGGTCCGACGGAAGTAGCAGGTTCGCTCGACCATGGGGTACCGGAGCTGGCGTGTGTGCGAGGGCAGCCTGAAGAAACACTGCAGTTTGTCATCCCAGCTTCGGTGGTAGAATTGTCTGCACAACAAGCTTCTTTGGAAGCAGAAGCACCAATAGAAGGGGCATTCCCTTTACCAAAAGCCTCGGCAGACAGGTCGTCGCAGCAGCCTCCCTCGCAAGTCCCGGGCGGAGCCTTACCCTTGCTGGTATCGGTAGGCGCCTTGCACCAGGGGTCTGTAGTTTCGGCGGATGACGTTGTATTGGTATTGTCGTGACTTATTTTGTCATTGTTTTGGACAGCGCCGTCCTCACGAGAGTTCTCTTGACTGGACGTCTCCGATAATGGACCGCCACCGCAATTCACAGAGGATGTATCTGGCTTTTTTGCATCTACCTTCTCAATCGCATCTGCTTGAGGGGACGTGCTTCCGCAGCAAGAGCGTCCCATAATGCTGGTTCGATAGTTCGATGTGAGTCGCGAGGGTTGTGGAGATCAGGAACCCAGGGAGTTGTAGGGGATCACCTGATGTGTTTAGCTTGGTTGCAACTGCATCAGCCACTCACAATCAGATACTAGATTTTCTATTGTGTATAGGGATTGCTTTTGTTGGGGGCGTTTCTTGTCCCTTTCTTGCTTTGGCTTTGATGTTTAGTTGGTCAGAATTATGAAACGAAAGAAAAGCAGATGTGCTACAATTCAAAGAAAAGGGTGTGCTTAGGATTGGCTTTGTTCTAGCTTATTTTGTGAAAATACCAGACCATCAAAAAGTGGATAGAACTAGTTTTTTCTTTGCTAGTTATAAATAAGGCTATAGATCATGTATAGGACAGTCATGTGCCATACATTTTAGTTGGTTCACGACATAGATATGCTCAGCATGATTCCTTGCTCTGTGTACATTTCCGTCCTAGGATCACCCCTGCTTCGAGGTTTCCTAGGATCAAGATAAATGCCCCTAACCTTTATAGGCTTTCAAACGTTCTTTTGTACTTCAAGTTAAAGAGGAAGTGATCAAACCACTTCGCAATTCTTTTTTCTAAGTATATATTTATCCAAGTCGGGGCATATGGATATGAATCTTTCTTATAATGACCTAGCCTTAATCAATATATGGTTTTCTCATGGGACAGAACTCCTCCTGTCGTCGCCCCTTCTCGCTTTCAATCAAATCATCATTGCAATCCAGCTTGCGTATCATCTGTTCTCTTTTGTTAGCTTTCAAACCATCGCTTCCCATCGTATCTCTTCAACATGGAGGATGAAACCAACCTCTTCTTCTGGCGAGGACTCTGCCCCAGAGACCGTCAGCAACCATGTCGGTTCTGGCGTGGGCAATGCCCCCCAGACCAGCGACCCTTTCGGCTCTGGTATGATATTTGCTACCCTTTCTATTAAACTAACGGTGGCTACAAGAGGGCAAATATCTGCGTACTCGGTTGTATATGAAACTGACTTTCTACGTATGTAGCTATAACATCGGATAGATTTTCAATCCACGATGCTCTATTTAAAAGAAACTCGCTCTCCGCGCTTGTCCCTTCCTTCATCCCTATATCAGCACTCATACATACCCTGACGCCGCAAGACCACACGTGCCCCTGAAGATGCAAGGTAAGCTCCCACCTCCCGTCATGTTGTCGAGGTCGCTCGGCCATTTGAGTTGCCCTGGTGCAAGACCTTATCTACAACGATGTTATTTCTCAACTTATTACAGGAAGCGACTTTCACGGGATTCTTGCGTCTCTTCGTTAAACAACCAAATCACTTTCATCTCATTGCACTTTCACCGTCCTCACTTGAACTTCCCATCAAGCATCCTTTCCAAGGTTCCCTATGACCACTCACCACGCTCCTGACGTCCTACCCCGTCAAATATTGCCGACTTCCTGCCGTACGTGCCTTGTCTTCCACTTCCCTCTCCTGAACCACTTTGGCCGTTGGTTCTCTCATTTCACATAACCATCACTAAATAAAACCAGATCATGCAACCCTTACCCGAGACTCGATTCTTCCTGACAAAAGAGGGACGCCCAGTTCCAGGAGAGACTGTACTCGGTCACGGAACCATGGGCGCAACATATCTGTCGTCAGTTGCAACCCAATCCTATGGAGCCGCTTGAGGGGGTGGTTCCTTGTCTCGACGTTGGGGACGAGACAATCGTTTTTCAGTTGTTGGAGAATGGGGACATGCCACCGCTACCACGCCACCGTCAGAGCCTCTCGTGTGGGATATGGTCCCCGGGAAGCCCCTTGATAGCAATCAGTTCTGGAGGCCGAATCGGTTTCATTACGTGAGGCTGTCCGCACAAAGTTCCTTACAGACCCCTCTTTCAAGTGTCGAGAGCAGAACTAACAGGTCCAAGGGAGTTGGAACGTTGTGGATGGGAGCCAACTATGACTGGTTTGAATAACATCATCTACGATGAGGCTACATCGACGATGTACGTGGTATCTGTTGTACCCCCTGTGCAAAGCAGAATAGGCTGACTGTCTTTAGGCACGTTGCAGGTTTCTGTGGCGCCCACCCCTTCCGTCCTGACATGAAATTTACCGACAGGACCTTTGCCCACTGGGATTTGGCAAGACCATCCAAGAAAAGGGGTTAGGACAGACCCTCCCCCCACCCCCCCCCCAAAATGAGTGGGCCTGGTGATCAGCATGGATGTCCATTTCTTTAGCTCAAGTGTACTCCAATGAATCCAACATTTGTTGCAATTGTAGGAAGAAAATCTGGTGTCATTCCATATGTATTACGTCAATAAAAACTCCAGTCTATGCAATATAAGGGGTGGTCTGTGATTAGTATTGGCTGTTTTACACATTTTTAAATGATGCTTGTGCTCTGAAAAATAGCGAGGGTTGTTCAGGCCGCATCTACCCTTATTTGAACACTTGAGTTTTCTTATATTCTAGGATTCATTTATTGAACATCAAAATAACGACACGACTATCTGAGGTTGGCTCTATTGTATAACGCTGCTCCGTTTGAGAAGTCAAAAAATCATACCAAGACTGAAGGATATATAGATTTCTGAGATGGAAGATAGAAACCTAATTCTATAGGGCTCACCTTATTATAGAACGCATTTACTATTTATTATCATAATGATAAAAAGCAGCGAGATCATGGATTTCATATGTGAGCAACTGGCGAGTGGAAAGTTGGCTCCCGAGACTTGGTCACCGCCATCGCCACAAAGTGGCTTGTGTGCTTCTCCTCATCCAACCTCTTTTCCATAACCCACCCAACGCTGCCTGCTTCCTATTCACCATATTTTGCTTGAAATCTTCCATACGTTCCAATATCCTCTTTGATCCCCCTGCCCAGTTTTCTTACTCCTTCAACCAATGAACCGATCATCACCGTGAAGAAGACCACACACACAACCTCACAGACCGAGCCGCCATGGCGCGACGGTACGAGATCGATGAGCTGATATGGCTCCGCGGCTCGCCCCTTGTCGCAAAGCCTCCTGGCCTGCCTCCAATTGAAGAATGGATGTATGTTGACTCCAATTCTTACAATTCTTTGACTGTCCCGCACCATCAATTTCAAGACTGACCGCAAGCTCTAGGCCTCAACCTGACTCAACAAACACACAACGCAAACCCCATGGCACCCGTGATGCCAACAATCCCGCTGAGACTGGCACAAACAGAAGGCCGAGCTTTTTTGAAGCCAAGCATATCTCTCGGGGTTCTAATTCTGGTATAATTATCTCCCTTTCTCTCGATCATCAAGTATCCTAATCGATCTGCAATGGAAGCACTTGCTAATTTGGATGTCTTCTATTTCCAGAGGACATTGTACTCGGCCCCCCGAAAACCGCCTTCGCCTCATCTCGCATTGGCGGCAAAGGCTCGTTGGATCTGACGGATCGACCAGCGCGGCCAAATGATTCTGATGAGACGAAGAACGACCGATTCAACTTCAGAGACAGGTTGTTTAAAGACCGTGATGCCCCGGATAGAGAGTTAGATAGACGGGATGCCAAGTCAGGGCCATTGACTGGCCGGCGTGGTGAGCGAGAAGACTGGAATTCCGGGCGCCCACGTCGCACGTTCGGCCCGGATGAGCAGGAGCGCAAGCCCAGACGAAACGGCGAATTTGACAGATGGGAAAACAAAGAAGGACCCCACGATCCCAACGCTGAACGGGTTCCCCGTGACAAAGATGGCCGATTCCCCACCCGGAAAGAAGGACAGCCCCCACGATCCAAATATGAAGGAAGCTGGTTCCGCGATGAACAGGCCCCAGAGGGCGCTGATGCTGATGACGATAAGCCGCCGTTGCGCAACCGAGAATGGCGCCAAAACCAGACCCGACACGGTACCGAGCGTGAGTGGAACCGTGGCGCCAAATTTGAACAAGAACCTGAATGGCTGGATACCAACGACCGAGACGAACCACGACGAGCACACACCCAGGAGGACTTTGAGCGCTGGAAAGAGCGTATGAAAGCTGGATCTGGACCATCCGCACAAACCCCGGCACACGCCGAGGAGAAGCGAGAAACACACGTTGAAGAGCAAAAGCCGGAGACCCGCCGTACTGATGGTGAGATCTTCAGCAATTCCGGTGCTCAGTTCATGTCCGACGAATCGATGGAACGATTCTTCGGGCTCCTGGGCGATTCCAAGGCCCAGCCTCAGATTCCAGAAGTCAGTACTCCTATCGCTGCCGATCCAGTCGCTAAAAAGGACCCCTCCCCCTTTCCCGGAAAGCCTGGAAAGTCATCTCGTTTTGCAGGTCTCTTTAGCCCCATGCCAGAGAGCCCTGCCAAAGAGCCCGAGCCGATGCCTTATTTCAGTGCCCCACCCCAGTCCCAGCAATATCAACAGCCCCAGCCGGCGTCTGAGACTATGCCTTTCCCATCCCACAATGCGGACCAAGAAGGATTCCAGCGCATTCTGCAGATGCTTGGAGGACAACGTTCGGAGAATTCTACTCCTCACGAGATGAGTTTGCCCCAGCAGCAACGGAATATGCCCATGATGCACGCTGAACAGCAACATGCCGCACTATCTCTGTCATCCCCTTCCAGGGAACCCCCTCACCGATCCGATTATATGGGCGCTGGCCCTGAGAACCCCATGGCCCAAGTTGGCCCAAAGGATCCCCAGGCGCTGGAGAGGGCGCACTTGCTTCGTTTGATGCAGCAAGTCCGAGTCGGTCCACCATCTACGGCTCATCTATCCCAGCAGTCTCCCAACCCGGGTATTGCCCCTCCTCCAGGTCTGATGCCAGAAACCATGCCACGTCCTCCGCCAGGGCTTTCTGCCCAAAAGACGCCGACCTTCCTCGATGACCCAGCAATTGCAAACATGCAGCGACCAGACAGCGAGCATCTCCGCCGGCGACCTGCAAATGGTCCGCCTATAGGATTCTTTGACGATATGCCATTCGCTCAGGGTAATCAAGGCCCTATGACTCCGGTTGGCTCGCGGCCTCAAGGCGCGAACCAGCCTCCCATGCCGCTTCAGCGACCCCCGGGTCTCGAGCATATTCCACCCCCTGGATGGACTGGCCAGCCTGTCCCGCAGCAGGGAAATGCACCAAGCCCTATGGGCCCTCCTGGAATATCCACTCCGGGCCGCGGTATGAACCCCAACTTCCCTCCTGGCATGCTTCCTATGCCCGGCAACCCGCCTCCAATGAACGAGCGCCAAGGCTTCCCTCGCGGCCTGCCTCCAGGCATGATGCCACCTCCGGGTTATATGAATGGCCCTCCCCCAGGCTTCCCTCCCATGCCACCAAACCCCGAGGCCATGATGGGACTTGGTCCCGGTGCCCAGGGTCCCTTTGGACCTGGCAACCCTGGCCCACAGGGCCCTCCCCCCTCGTCTAGACACCTCCTGGAGATGTTCGGCCAGTCCAACGGCGGCGATGTCCGTGGCGGCATGGTCGGTCCCGGCCAGTTCAGATAAACGGAAAGTACTGGAAAAGGATTTCTATCGCCTCGATTGCATTTACGCACCATTTAGCAATGCCCAATGACCATTTATGATTATCTACGCTAGCTTGGTGAAGCCGATGTACAGGGGCTCCTGATCTTCGTTTTTCATTTTCCATCCACCCAGATCCTGCGGCAGTATCGCACTTCCTCGTGAGAGAACAAAAATACCCATTTTCTTGTTTGTTTTTCCTTCTCTCGATGTATTTGCTCACGTCCCTTTCGGCAAAATGATGCCCGTGTTCAATAACTGCCCCTACTCCTCCGCGTTTGAGCCTTTGCTGCGTTGGCTTTGGCTTTTCTGGTGTGAATTTTGCTGCATCTATTACCGGGCCTTTTCTTTGCCTCTCCCCTTCATATTTTTCCTGGTGTTCTTGAAACCTCTCATGGGGCGATGCGTCCGTGCTGTGTCTTCTGGTGCTGGATCTGACGAGTATAGTCCTGACGACTATGACTGGGGGTTGACAATATGTGTCGATAAGGTGATGGATGGATGGTCTTTAACTATGACTTTATTGGGTCTCTGATCTTCGCTGGTTACCGGTAGATCCATGCATTGTTTCCATAGATAGCTGACCAGCCTCAATTTATCCATCACTTGTTCGAGACTGTGGTCCTTGTAAAATGTTACACATTCAATAGGGCCGATAGATAATATGTCTCTGGCTCAATCTTTGAGACATTCTAAAAAGACCACCTAGAAAGACTACCAAAAAGACTACCAAAAAGACATGACGAAATCAATGCAGTGATTACACGAAGTCAAGTCCCCGGCAATTTCTATACTACAGCCATAACAATCAAACCAGTAACCCGTGGTTCGAGCGTGTTCCTTTCTAACTACGTACCGGCCGTGAGCTCCTTGTCCTCGTTCTCGATATTGCTCCGGCTCTATTCTTTACGCTCTTGATTTATCACGCTTTTATCCTGTGTGCAGTCTGTTTAGGATTGTGAAGTTGCGTGCAGCAGCCACTATGCATGCACGTGACAAACCTTGCCCCCATTGAGAAGAATAAAAGGACCACCTATCATTCTGGACCGCAAATTAAGTCTCTAAAGACGATTTAAATATTGTTTATGAAGAAATAAAAGAACTACTTTCTAAACTCAAATAACCAGTCAGGCAGCGTAGAATCAACTATAAATGCTAAGATTATAGGCCAGTCAGAACCATAGAAAATCCATAGATGGATTAAGCGTATAACAAGCGTATAACAACTAGACGTATAACGACTGAGCATATAACGACTAAGCGACAAACAATTCTATCTCGAGGGAAATGATAGACTAATTTATCTCTCCATCCTGTCTCGCTCGTCCTTGTCATCCGACGCAGCGCTACCTTGTACACCAAGCTGTGCAGGGTTAGGCCACCGAGTATCGAGGACAGTTACAGATACTACAACTCCAAGTTCCGCTGTATTGTGAGTTAAACAGCCAAATATATCCCTCGCATTGACCCCGGCCTTTGCTCGTTTAATCCCATGCTAACATCCTCGAAACACAGCCGGGGCGCTCGAGACAACCGACGAGGGCAAATACTCGTTCGAGTCAAAGATATTGCTACATGTCTTTCTCCAAGGTACTATCTCAAAACCTTAGAAGTCGGACAAATTGGTTGTTTGGAGCCATCTACGATGGAAAGACTCGCATCGCGCAAGGCATTTTATGCTGATTGAATGGCTGAATAGGCTTCCAAGATGGATCCTGCAGACGTAGAGCTGAACGTTGAAGTGGGCGACGAGGACCTTTTTATTGAGTCCATCTCTACCGGGGTGAAGCGCAAGCGTGACAATGTGTCCACACATACGCAGGCACGTCCAGCTGCTGAGAGCATTGGACCTTCCGCTTGGGACTTGTCTTCTGTTTACTGGAACTCTCTGAACTTTACACCTGCCTCCACAATTGACGAGTCTCGCCTGACTCGGCTTGGTAAGTCTGCCATTTATCCCATCTTCTGTTTACTCCCAAATAATCGGACGAGCAACTCATTGTTCCGAATCTAGGGACCGAAAATCCTGACCGTTCTCCACCCCCCAAACGTGAACTGCTCGATGTGATGCCTCCCCTGGACCTTGACGAGCTACCTGACCCGCCAAGTGAGACCAATAACTTCAGCTCGCGCGTTTGGGAATCTCACCGTCCCTCAAGCCTCAACTTCACCATTTACGAAGACCCGCTGGGTAAGGAGACACCCAGTCCCAGCCCTATGGAGCAAGGATTCCAGTATCTGGAAGAGGACAAAGAGAATATCTACCTCACCCATTCTGATTTGGGAAGCTCTGGCGAAGAGGAAGAGGAAGACACCATGCCTAACCTCGCTTGGAATGAAGCTTCTGCCGGCCCTCGCGATGCCTTTGGTCTCCCACTCAACCGCGAAATGTCTGATTTCGTCTCACCTCGCGACACTCCATTCCCAGAGCCTCACATGCGCCGCGGTCGACAGGTGCTGCGAACCCTCTGGGTTGATGAGACACAAGTCCGCCCGGAAGATAATGCTCTGAGCAACGCCCAGATTCGAGAGATTGAGGAGACTGAGGCAATGTACCGACGAGGACGAGCCAGAAACCGGTCTAACCGTTACCAAGTCCGTGAGGATACCCTAGCTCAGGCTCCTACCGACTTCACCTACGATGTTCGCCGCGTCCTTTTCCAGCGACACGAGGATCGTCGCCCTGTGACTCCCGAGCGAAATGAAGATATCCGCCCTGTCACTTCCGAGGAAAGCGAGGAGGAGCCCCAGCAGCAGGAGTCGGAGCAGGAGCAGGAGCCGGAGCAGGAGCAGTAATCTGGGAACATACGGCTTCTTGATCTGAGAGCACGATTTGACACTGTTATGACCTCGTGATCTCCACTCTATCTTGCGAACATCTTGACTTTGTTTTGCACAGCCTGCAATCTTCAGGCTTGTATTCTTCCTTCTGATATGCTTTTATGATTCACGGCGTGTACGAATAGCCCATTGATAGCCGATGAATCTTTGAATCTTTGCTGTTATTTTCCAACCAATACGGTAGACACTAGTACAACTTATATCCTATTTGTATAAGTCAAGTAGGCCTAATACGGTATTAGACATGATCCATGTTGATCAGCGAGAAGTGGGCTTCGCTTCAGCTATTACCTGGGACACTGAGTGTCCTGGAAAATATCCCTTCCCGTAAAAGTAAATGCACATTTCAGCGCACGAGCAGCTGATCTCAAAACTATCCTGCGACGCACAATACCGTGATCCATATGTTTTCCTTTTTTGGTGGTTTCCTGGATTTTCATTCTTTTTTTGGTGTCCTGCTAGGTCCCTCGGGACTTGTCATCTTTTTTCCTTTCGTTTGCTTCTTCTGTGAACCTTTCAGCAAGCTAACTCCGCCTCTTAGCAGCTTTTGCTTTGGGAGTGGATTTTGGCGTGGCTTTGGGGGCGGCCTTCGAGGCATCTTTGGAAGTGCCGTGCCTTTCGACGGTAATAGAGCCGGAATCCCGTTTTTGGGTCATCATCAACTTCGTCGAACATCTCCAGCAGTTCTCGGAGTGTGTTTCGGTCTGTGAGCACACTCTGGCTCATGACATCGCTGATCTCCTTGGCTTTCTTTTTCTGAGTTCTCTCCATCCAGTCGTCAACGGACTCTTTGATAATGAGCATGAGACATTCGACATCGCGCTGTTGACCAAGACGCCAAAGACGAAAGAATGCCTATTTCTGCCGGTTAGAGCGCTGAGATCTATAAGTGTTGATTTACGCGCGTCCACCTACCTGGTCTTGGACAGGCTCGTTCCACCATAGATCAACCGGGATACACTTGTTGGCCACGGAAAAAATCAAGACCTAGACCACCCGTTTTAAGCGAAGCAATCATAATCTTGTATTCATTCTTCGCCCGGAGCCTGGCCAGGTAAATTTCTCGTGATCTATTAGCCATTCGACCCGTATGGTCAAGTCGAGTTAGACATGCGCTCTGTCAGTTAATTGTCGTGGAAAACTTCCTTCGGAGTAATTCCAGTCATTTTCTTCACACAGATAGCGTAAAAGCCTGGCGCTGTTGACATACTGTGTGAAAATCACGATTTTGGCCGTGCTATCTTCATCGAGCCACCTTCTGACTTGAGAGGTGATTGCATCAAATTTGGAGCCTGGCATGCATTTTCCAAATGCTGCTATCCAATCTTGTCCTTCGTCGATATCTTCCTCATAGGGAACATCGCCCTCGTTAGGGCTTTGGTCTTCCACCTCGTCTGGGCTCTCCTCGTTGCTCTCATCGTCAAAGGTTGGCTTTCTGTTGGCCAACAACCACTCTGTGAAAGTCTGACCGTCCTTTTTACCCTTCCGGCGTTTTCTTGCTTTGAGCTTCGTTTGCCGTTCTTGTATCTGATGGGGCTGGTCGCTTTTGGCGGCTCGCCGGTCCAAGAGAAGAAGACTCAGCTTCCTCCTGTTGAGGTGTATCGAAGTCATCATCATCGTATATTCCGTAGAACGCAGCAGTTTTGATATGGATTTTGTAATCGCGGCACCATCGAGCGACACCATTGGTGTTCCCTTTCTTGCCAGGGAGTGCGTCGAAACCCTCTTCGCAATAAAGGTGTTTACAGTCCGTGATAATAGCCCTTGTTGGGAACCCATCACAGCCAGGACAGAACCATGTCCGATGATCAAGCTTGTGGAATGATCCATTATCAAAGAGTCCTTTGGTCATCTCCTTGAAGTTTGAAACGAGCTCTTCGAAATTGCCACCCGCCGTGGTCGAAAATTTTCGCTTGCTGCTCGAGATCTCAACGGAACCACAGGCATACTGGTCTGGTATTTCCCTGCAATGCAGCATTTTGCAATTATGCTTGATGGGGATGGTTTACCTGCGCTCGCTTCGTCTTTTACCCAACCCTTCAGCTGTGCATCTAGCGCGCTGTCGAAATTGCACACTCGCTTGAGGTAATCTTCTGCAGTAAGTGGATGGCTGGCGAACATTTGCAGCTTTAGGATCATCGTAAAATGCACTTGCTCTGCTTTTCCTTTTGAGTAACTGTGACATTTTTTAGTAGTGAATTCAATTGATTACTCAGATGGCTTCCCGGCTCACCGTTGACTTTCGCGAGAAACCTCTCCGCGATTGCTTTGTGGATATGTTTTTCAACTGGGTAAAAATCAATCTTGACCTCCTTCAGATCGAACTTTTTGAGCTCGATAAAGGTCTTCCCATATGACGGCTCTCGTGGGTCTTGCGATGGATGATAGCGCGAAGCATGTTGACCAAACGCTCTTTGGCAACAGGCGTCCCCTAGATTGGAAAAGATTATTATATGCACATTTCCCTAAACAAGAGCAAAACTTACGTCGCAATAGTCGTGCATGAAAACCTTGTAGGGGTCACTGCTGGGCGCCTCAATGAATGCAAATAAAGCGTAGAGCTTGTCAACGGAGCTATGTCCAAAAGCCAGCTTGGTTCCTTTTCGGATTTATTTAAATAAAGAAAAGTTGTACTCACTTCTGCAAAGGCGTTCCGGCCAAAGCCCATTTGGAGTACCCGCTTAGAGCATGAACCGCAATCGACGTTCTGGTCTTCCTATTCCTGATGATGTGTCCTTAGCTTTCGCGATCCCGCTATGCAGGTCAGCTAGATATCGCACGATAACACCTGGAATACCAAGCTTACCATCCAAGCAGCAGCCTTGAGCTTTTTCAATGGTTAGTCAATGTCACAAATTGAGTTTGATAGATTTCGAACCTGGTGGTGCATGAGCAATGTGTTAAGACCCTTAACCGGCCAGTTCATGTCAACAATTTTCGCCGAAGGAGTGAACTTCCTCGAATCCGCAATCAATGCATTTGCGTCCTTTTTGGCTTGTGCTTGGTCGTCAATTGCAAGCTTCGCAACCTCTTCCGCGAGCGCTTTCGCTTGGTCCCCAAGCTTGGACACAGGCACAAATTGCTGCATATCACTCGCATTCTCATTCGCGCTCAGGATATCGCATTTCATCAAATTCTTGACAGCCTCGTTCAAAGTTAATGAGGTTGAGGTTTTTCCCTTCTGTCTTCGCTTGGTGGGCTTGCTTGAGGGGCTCATCTTTGTTGGCTTTGGCGACCATTCCATCTCAGCAAAATCGCTGTTATTGTCAGAATAACCTGAGGCAATTTCGAACTCCTCGCCAGAAGAGCCTTCAGCATTGGCAGAAGAGTCGTTGTCAAACTGTACATCATCATCAGACGTTTCTTCCAAGTCTGGTTTATCCAGCGAGTCCTCTTCGGATTCGTCCTCGGGTTCCTCCTGAAATTCATCTGCAAATTATTTGGTTCAGTGTCCACCTGTACATCGTTGACAGGACTTGGAGTCTCTTTTGGTACTGCCTCAAGGGAGTTCGTGAGGTTTCCAATGGGTTGCTCCATTTTGACTGGACTTTGCATGTCGAAGTCGCAGGATGGGCAGATGTGAGGGAATCAGAAGGTTGAGTGAACAAAGTTAAGTAAAGAACTTTGTGTGTGTGTGTACTTGAAAATGGGGGAGAAGAGAAGGAGTCGGGTGAACTGGCTCCAAGAAGAAGCAAGAACTGAATGTAGCAATGCAGAGCACAGGAGTGACCCGAAGGTTGATGGGAAGGAGATACTCAGAGCGGTTCGCGAAAATAGTTGCACAGAATCGAAGAATCGAGGAGCACAGATGGAGAAGGGTTGTTGATGGAGTGAATGAACAGAGTGAGTAAATAAGAGGCACGGAATGGGTAAAAGTAGAGAGGTACTGGATAAGGAATGGTGAAGACTGTATATGGAATAGATGTTGAGGGATCAAAGTAAGAGAATAGAGACAAGCAGGAGGCGCTCAAGGTGTAGGAAGAACATGAGAGGGGAGTAGACGAGGGAGTATTGGACAGGAGATATCTCGAAACCCGAATATTATGACTCGGTGAAATGTTTGAATTTGGTTTAGTAGGGTTGATATAAAGGTCATGGAGAAGATCAAGCAGAGATGTTAAGAGTCACGAGGTTTGCTGGGGAACGACACATGAAGAAGGATCGACTGGCAGCTTTTGGGACGACAGTGCAGGTTCGAAGCTATATAACCTCTGAAGAGTCTAGGTTGTTAACTACAGGAGGTATACATGTATTTATGTGTAAGTTGAAGTACAAGCTACGAGGGTTTTTAGAGTAGTTTGTTTGGTGGTCTTTCTGTTAGTCTTTGGTATTCTTAAGGTTAAGTGTCTTCTAAGATACTCTCTATATCTATAGATTTTCCTTTATTGGTGCTATGACCAGAAGGACAATATCTATATAGACACATACTTTCATGTATATGTCATATTCTAGAGATCGGTTAGGACTCGTAGTTTATATTGAACCCAAGCAATTCTATAAATACGTGTGAAAATATCTAAGCTTATGCCCATATAACTACTATTTTCTGGGGGGCAAAAAGCCGGCTGTCGTGATGGTCCCTAAAGGTGAATCGTGAATGGTGAGTACATGCACACAGCGAATATCACCAGAAAAACAATTCCTCCGAGTCGGTGCCCACGTATCACAGCCCACGGAAGTGGAACTCGATTCACCCGGGAACTCCTGTTCGATTCTTGCTGCGATGGAAGGATCTTCTCCAAGTCAAAATCTGTCAAGGCTGAAGGCGAGGAAGCTTGTCCATTGCACGAAAGGCCTGTTCCTCTGTCGTTGAAGAGTGGCTAACATCGTCTCCACTCAATGGTCTGCACTCCGAGGTGATAGAAAATGCACCCAATGCTGAGACTGCACAGGAACGACAGGACTTATCGGCAAGTTCTAAGGTTGCGCCGCTCGGGCGGCGGTTTATCCGACGGTGTAAACAAAAAGGCCTTTTTGTAAGTTCCACGTGGGGAACAGAAGCGTTCAGCAGGGACTCAACGGTCCGATCTAAGAACTCATACATCCGGCTATCTATGCTGAGAAGCATTGCATCAATTGCGGCAACCCTCCGCAGCTGCCAAGGCCGGCCTCCTTCCCAGATGTTTAGACCAGTCTTGCGATCGTGGCGACCAAGAATCATCAAACCCTCTGTCTTCACTGCATCCTTTACAACATCACCGTTCGATCGTCCGGATGTCACCCAAGCCATCTACAGCCCAATCCACGCCTCCGTTCACACCTCGATCGACCGGCCCGTCCCACCCATGCCCCACTCGCCGGTGACCGTAAAGATCCAGGGGCCCAACGAGGAATCTGGACCCGGCCACGAAACCCATCTTCAAGACCAGCTGCACTCCATACAGAACGACACAAAATATCTTCGTCTTGATGGAGACACTCCCTCCGACAAGGAGTGGGCACTCCTGAGCGCTCATTTCTCCCACGTGGAGAATCTCGAGCTCGACAGTGGGTTCAACGAAGACCTCAATGATAAAGATATTCCGCATCACTGGCCTCTTCGACGTCTCGAGCTGCGATCAGCGTGTGGCCAGCTGGTGCAGAGCCCCTTCGTCCGCCAGGGACGAGTCTCTCATCTGAGTCTACTTCTCACTGGTGGCCTTCGCTTCGCCGGCCCAACGAATTCGGAGCTGTTGCGCGAGCACAAGGAAGAAGTGAAGCGCGGAGAAGTAGAAACGGAATATATCATGCAAAATCAGGGCACGCCAGAGGAGAAACAGATCGAGCTGATTTATATGCCGGACCTGGTCTCCAGGCATATGAACAAGTTCCACTCGGGTCCTGGCGGAAATTCAGACCCCGAGAGCGTACCCCCTTCTGATCAGATCAACCTGCGCACACTAGAGATCTTCGAGAACGACGCTATTGATACTTTTTGTCGTCTGACGATAAGTCAGCCCCATTTAGTGAATAACCTCCAGACACTCCGTATCCGCTCTACGGGCGGAGCAGATTTTATATATCTCGACGAGGGACCATTCCGCTTCATACTGCCGCAGTTGGTGAATCTGAAGACGCTGAACTTGACGGTTGGTGATGTGTTCAGGGATCCAGCATATCTCCCCACCCTACACGAAATCCTCCCGCCCAATCTGACAACCCTGTTCTTCCGTGCTCCGGCTTCTTTGTGTCAATCCGAGAAATGGTCCGCCTGGCTGCGCGCATTTGAATCGAAGGAATTTTTGCCGCAATTGCAACGCCTCGCATTTGTCCTTGATTTGCATCATGAAGTAAAGGAAGAAGGTTCGAGTCGGAAGCGTGTGGTTCCTGCGCCTGTAAATGTCCTCTATCAGGCTCGCATCGCCTGCGAGCATATCTATGGCACTGTCAGGAGGCGCGGGGTCAGCATTGAGGCTATGCCTCCCGAGCCTGAAGCTGAAAACAATCTGTTCCAACCTGTGGATGATCGCTGGTGATTGGTGGTTTACATTGTACTGGCATAATGCTGATCTCCTCTCTTATGATATCCTCCTCTCATGTACTGGAAATTCAAACTCGTCTCTGGATTGACTACTGGATAGTTTACAGCTCTGTAATTGGCATTTGCACCACGCCTTATTCTCGAAGCATTGCATGCTATAAGAGCGCGATGGCCGACGTCTCCACTGCACAAAGGACCAGGCACTCCTCCACCTGCAGCCATAGCTATATTTCATCTCCAGCGGGACTCTCAATCATTCTAACCAAAATGCAGCAGCCCATTGATGAAATCAACGACCAGATTGCCTGGGTATGTGTTGAGGGACTGCCAAGACAATCCCGATATAGCTAAAGAGACACCCTTTCCTACGTTTAGTTGGTTATAGGGTAAGAGACCAGGAGCAAGAAATGAAAAGAGGGGAAATAATCCATATCATTGCCCTAACCAAAAGTGACCGGGTGAATATAATACATCATGCAATAAATACTCCATAACAAGCATCGTAGAAAGCATGGTCAAAAATTTCCAATTTCATGGCCAAAAGCCTCGCAACATACATTATCGACATGAGGTGTGGAAGGAAAGCACCACCTATTGATTACTTTAAATATTATAGAAAAGAAAGGCGAAAGGCGAAGTTGTGTAAGCTCCAGCCAGTCTTAGATGGACAAACATAAGAAAATGCCCGGGTTAGAGCCAGCCAGTCCCGCGGACTAACTGGCCGGGTATCACAGAAGAAACCGGGTCAGAGATGGTATGTCTATATGCAAAGCATATGAACAAGAGTCATTCACCAGCCGGTGAGGCAGATCATCGACTAGAACGCGAATGAGAACTAGATCAAGATCGAACATGTAGAGAGAAAGGCGTTTAGTAGGCAACCTTCTCCTCGTAGATGGGGGGCTGGCCCTTCTCCTCGTTCCATTGGATCTTGCACTTCTCGTCGAGATAGGCGTCCTCGTCCGTGATAGGGATGACGCGTGAGGTGTGCGCGACTTCCTGGGAGCTGACTCCGAGAGGGTCGCGGGGAATCCAGAGAAGAGGGGCCTGCGAGGTGATGGCCGGGTGGCAGTAGGCATCGCGCTCAACCTCGGCGGGATAAGTGGGGATTTCAGAGGAGCTAGGGACTAGCTTGCGCATCTGGTGGTAGTTGTGGTACAGGTCCGGACGGAGGAACTTGGTGAACACGTTCGGCTTAGGTGCTGGGGACGAGGTATCGGTGACACCCTTCTCGGCAGAGTCGACGCTGTCCACGTTGGCGACACCGCTGTCGCGGGGAGCCGAGATAGATCCGCTGGCGCCGGTCTGGTCCTCGGTCTTGGACTTCTCGTTCATAGTACCGACGTTTGCCTTCTCAGCAGCGAGCAGAGCCTCCTCCTCTGCCTCGAGGTTCTTGGGCAAGTAGTTGAGAAGGGGCTCCATGGCGCTGTTCATCGCGAGGTGGAACAGAATGATAAAGACCAAGAAGATGATCATCAGGATCAGGGGACCGAGAGCCATTCTGTCGGCACCGGAGCCAATGGCGAACAGTCCAATCAGACAAACCATGGACAGGTAGCAGCCCACAGTGAGCTGTTGCAAACCACGAGTGTAGCATCTACCCTGGGTGTCGATGGTTGCGTTCGACACGTACAACAGGTTGTACCGGTAGGCGAAGTAGAACAGGTAAAGACCAATGGTACCGAAGCCCATCACAAGCGGTGCAATGCAAGAGTAGACGATTGCTATAACAAAGGTTAGTATCATGATCAAATAAATTGGTTATTGGTTTAACGTACCGACAACAGTCAACAATGTGAATGCAGGGTAGACAGTGCCCCATCCGAGACCAGCCAAGCTTGACCAACGAGTGTACATCTTGCGAGGGGTGCTATCCAGCAACTTGCCTAGGACCTTGCCGAGGATCAGGCCGACAATCTGGAGAAGGGCACCGGCGCTGAAAGACAGTCCCTGTAGGATGATGTAGGAGATGTAGAAGTTGGACGCGGTAGGGATCTTCTGGGCCAGAAGCGAGGCGGCCGAGGAGGGGTTGTCAATGATATCACTAACGACACTGGTGGCCGATGAGGCAATGGTCACCACCAGAAAGACCTGAACAACTTGGAAAGCGAAGAACCAGTTCTGGACGGTCAATTCAACGGCGGGGGTACTAGGAGCACCACCCAACTTGGCCATCAGGCGAAGGATGATAGGTACCAGCGCCATGAGGACAGCCATCAAGACAGTGGGCAAAAGACCGGTAATAACACCCTTAATCCATGACGGAACACTGTCGATGAACTTCAGGAAGGGAACAATCTTGGTCAAAGAGTCAATGTTGGAGATGGCACCGACAACTGCAGTAGGGATGGCCCAGAAGATGATCATAGCACAAACAAAGGCCATGGTAGCAGCGTAACGACCGAGGCGTTCCCACCATTTGATGCGGAGGTTGGACCAGATAACCTGAGTAGGGTCTAAACCAATGTAGCGAGGGCTCATGTGCAGGGGGAGGTTGTGGGCCACAGACTGGAAGGAAGCCTGGGCATCAGACTGATTGTAGAACTCGACAAAGACGGAAGAGACCAGTTTGGTTTCTCCCGCACGGTGCTTGGCCTGCAATTCCTCGATTTCGGGAGACAGACGCTCGATTTCGGAACGCGCCCAATTGATAGTGTCGACCTTCTTGCCAATAAGCATCGTGAGACGGTGCGTGGGACGGTTCTTAGCCTCCACCCAACGAGCAGCGACGGAGCCAGATTCATCATCAAACTGGCCGTTGCCAATGTCAGTCTCGGGGTTTTCAGCCGAGCCCTGCTTCTTAAGAGCCTTGTTGCGCGCCTTGTTAGCAAGCGTAATCAGCTTGGTCTCGGCACCCTCGAGCTTCATCGCAGCCGCATCACGCTCCTTGACCTTCTCCTCTAGCTCCTTGGTATCAGTTGCGATCCAGACATTCTTGACCTTGTCGCGGCCGAACATGGTGCGAAGCTTGTCCTTGTTCAGGAGGTCCTCAGTAACGGCTGTGAACAAAACGGTGCGAGACGAGATGCGGCTAGCGTAGGCGGGCGAGAAAAGGTACGCCTGGCGCAGGTTAATATAGAATAGGTGTTCGCGGGTTATCATGAAGAAGATGAAGCCGACGAAGATCCAGGCGACGAAGCAATGCGCGTAGTAACGACCGTATTGAGTATCGCTGATGTTCGAAATGCTCAGCATGTTCAGTTGGGTCTTCCCACCACCACCTGTGGCATTGACGGGCCACAGAATGGGGAAAGTGATACAGCAACCCACAAATAGCATGACGGAGCACAGTTTGAGGAAACGAAGCATGAGGTAGGCGTCCATCGAGTGATGCTGCAGGACATAGGTATCGGGTAGCTGGTACATGGCCTTGATCCAGTTCCACAATCCGGTCGGAGAGGCGGGTGTGCGCTGCCAGGGACGGAGGTAGCCAATGTAGGTTCGGGGCATGTACATCCTGCGGTTGCTCCTGCGCAGGATGATGAAGAGCAACACCATCACAACGAAGGAGATGAGGGCGGGAATTAGGGTGGTGAGCAGCCCAGATAGTGACGGAGAGCTGTCCTGCGGGTTCTCGCTCTAGTATCATTAGTAAAGAACCAGCTACCTAGGAGTGCGACAGGGCTTACCGCCTCCCTGGCGACCCGCCAGTGAACGGCATCGTTGCCCATTGTGAAGTTATTCGCAATGGTATATTCGAAATGTCCAAAACGCGATTAAAATCACACGTGTGAAGTGTCGAGGAGGGGGACGGAAGGGAGGTGAGTTTAAGTCTCCCCAGGTGTGAGAAAAATAAGAGGTAAGAGGGAAAAAAAAGCCGTGGACCAGAGAAGCTTAAAGTTTGGTAAGGACCCATGGCCAGCAGGGAGAAGAGGGGGCTAGGATCTGCGATCTGCCTATGTAATTGGAGCATCATTAAGATTGTTTTCGAGTTATTTGGGTTATTTCTCTATTTTATTATTTTAACCATTGTTTTGCTCATTTTTCTCCTGCAATTGAACCTAAATATCACAGCTAGCGTCAGTCAGTCCATGGGTGGAAAGTGGGCTATCCAAACATTTTCACACAGTGGTCGAGATGCGACCAAAGATCCTCTCGTCCGTCGTCATCAATGACCCCCGTAGCCCCATTTTTTGGTTCAATCACATCAGATGGTTTCTTTTTTAAGTCATAGATTTAATTAATTTTCCCTGCACGGAGAAGTCCGCCACAAGACCACAGCCACAAGACCACAGCCACATTTATGTTGCACAACCTAGATGAGCTCCCGTAGGTAATTCGATGACGATCATGACGCTCAGTTAACAGGGATGGCTATTAATTATGTTGTGGCTGCGCAAGGGATGCTGTGAGACGAGACAAACTTCTCGGAAATACTTCGTACACTGTATATGTTGTAGAATCCTCGGTCGCACATATTCGGAATTAGAGAAAGTCCCAGAGAATCTAACTCTCCGCTCTTAGTGAATCCAGGGGTATGTAAATTGCGTCTCCACCTGATCAGAGTCACGAAGCACACGAGGTTATCCTTTGGTTAGTGCCTTTTTTTGCTATTGCTTTTTTTACTTTCTGCTTTGTTTACGGAGTAGTCCGTATCGACGATTAACGTCATTGCGGTCTGTCGTGTCATTGCATGCCCAGGTGCAAATTCCCGCCAAGTCATGATACATCGTCAGATGATAATCTCATATCTGAGCTGGATCCAATAACTCACTCTTGGTAGATCGGGATTTGTCGCCACAGAGAGCGCTAAGGCTCAGTGGGTTGCACTATTGATTAACCTGGATCTGTGGGTTTAGTGGAGCCAAGACTGGCATGAAACCCCTTTCACGAGTCGAATTTAGTACATATCCATATTGTAGGCAAAGTTAGCGAGCCCTAGGACGGGCTAACATTCTCACAACTTGAAACCTCAGCTGCGCCCCTGGACAACAAAGGAGCTGCATTTACTGCGCCATATAACATTACATCCCACTTCAATTAGAAAATTAGTTTCCAGTAAGATTATGGGCTCTATTATGATTTGTGGGCGGAGATGAATCGATCCAGTACTCCGTACTCCGTACTGGAATGATACACCTATATTGTAACGTTAGAGTCACAGCCGAGCAAATTGCATGACGATCGATCTCACAACTCATGGATAGATAGCTGTGGTGCCGCGATACGTCCACGGGTGGTACGGTACATATGTACTCCGTATTTGGTTAGTGACGGGTCGGCTTTGCTGTGGAGATACCTCGGCGTTACGCATGCGCTCGGTACTCGTAAAGACCCGATTTTCCTTTGGCGAGTGGTGTGGCAACGTGTGAAGAAATTTTATTTTATTTTTTATTCTTCCCCCTACAGCGATATACTACCATGCAGTGAATATCAAATTGTATGGAAACCGGGGCAAAGAGCCCTGGAGCTTCCAAGGTTCCCCCTTGGTCTCCACTGCGGTGAACTCAATGACGCTTAGACTTATCCTGGTTCTCGGGTCCTCCAGGACTGCCAAGACATTCCACCCGTACCTGAGTTGTATTGAGATCATGTGTGAAGTCAAAAAAAAAAATTCTCATTGAGAACTATGTGAACTATGTCGAAGCTCTTCTTCAAATACAGTGACCCCGCGGATAGGTACCTGGAAAGATAAGAAACTCATGAGAATCTCATTAAACTGGAATTGCAGGTCAGGCCGTAGCCGTTTGTGCGCCTGGACCAGCTCGCCAGTGGACCATCCACGTTCGGGGTCTTGTAAATCGGAATCGAATGGTTCCTCCAGCAGCAACCACAGAAGGGTTTCGCAGGCTGGATCCCGATCGAGATGGTGCTGTTTCACCGTGGTACATAAAAGGTGAAGGAACCGGTCGGTCTTACTTGGAGACTCCTGGAAATCCCACAGTGCGGCCGTAATATAAATGAGCGCCGCCGTTCGGGTGACCTCTTGGGTATGCGCACCGCGAACCACATATACACGTGACTCATGCGGCACTTGGGAGGGCCGCGGTCCACTGGAGAGCAGGGAAAATAGAGGACTTTCCATCTGGAAAGCCTTGTGTCTATGAGGTGCTTGGAGCAGATATGCGGGGGAACTGTGTTGCCGCATGAGGTCCTCGGCTCCGCGCAGAAAAGTGAGCAGCCATTGCTGCTCCGTCAAACTGATCTGGGGGCCTTCGGGCATCATCAGGTATCGGATGTAGTGGAAAAATACTTCCACCGGCCTGTTGGTTCCTGTTCGCGGTCGCATGACCTGGACCGCGCGGTCGACATATATCTGGGCCATTTTCTTGCTTCCGAAGCGCCCTTCGTGCAAGGCCATTCCACTCAAGGCCATTGCAAGATCATCCGCTTTTACTAGCGCCGAGCCTGACGTAGCGTCATCGATGAGTTTCGCAGCTTGCACAACATGGCGCTGAATTTCGATGCTGTCGGACATGTCGTACAGTTGTGCCTTCCACCGCGCGCAGTATGACAGGACTACTGCCTTGAATGAAAGAGGGTGTCCCATAGCCGTACGGAAAATCTGGTTTTTCACGTGGAGGTTCTGTCCGGACCAGTATGTCAACTTGTTCCTCCAATAGTCAGCCAATTCAATATCCATGTTGTCGTATTCCATTGGGAGACTGGCGAACGGATCCCTTCGCGAAGCATCGAGTATCGTGATTGGCGAGCCAATTTGTGTTAGCACGGGGGTATGAGGTTGTGCTTTCGTATTTGAGAAACTGAATTGAAGCTGCAACACGCCATATCATTAGCATCTAGATCCATGATCCTTTGCAGCTAAGCCTACACCTAGATAGTCCAGCCTTGGCTGTGGCGTGAATATTTGACTAGAGGAAAGTGATTTCCATACCGAAGTTTCCCTGCTGGGGAAGTTTGGCGCAGCTATCGGGGCCGATTCCAGTCGACTCTGTTCGACAGCTCCTGCCTCTTTCTTTGCCGGATACGAGCTATAATCTGGAATGTGCTCTGCGGGGGGTATCACATGTGACATTTTGCGCTGTTTCCTTTTTTCCTGTACATGGTGGCGCATAACATGAGCGCGTTTTTCTTTGGATGACGAGTTCTGATCAACAAAGTAGAAGTGTTGGTTCTTGGGGGGTTTGTTTATCGATTCAGCGACGCGCCGTCGCCTCCCGGGCTTGGCAGTTTGAGGGCCTTGGCCAGAGGCAGATGTTGCTGTATGTGAAGCTTTAGCTGATTTGTGCATGCAAGTTGAGAGGTTAGCTTGTAAAGGCGGGGGCGGCATACCCGATGCATCCGTGTCAGACGGGCTGACACAACTGGGCCTGGTCAGTGTCGTCACTAACCGTTGTTCATTCTCCGACATGTCGAGCTGCGAACACATAGATTTCCTTGTCAACACGATGAGGCAGTCAAAACTGCAGAACCAACCAATGGTCACCAAGATTCCTCCAGCCAAGGACTCGGGATTTGGAAGAAACCATCGCAAGACACACAGTCCTATGTCATGACAATGTCAGAGGGTAACGGAGAATATGCGCGGAAGAAAGGGTGAGTAGATCACGCTAGCACAGAACAGTCTAACTTACGAGGCAATACAAGAGGGGAATATAAATCCCCGGGAGGAATAATGGGATGGTCTCAGAAGCTCGAGTGCGGGCACCCCGGGGAGGAAGCTGTTATATAAGCGCCAAGCATGAACCATTTACCCAAATGGAGAAACCCGCACGGCAGCGTTAAACTCAAGTTTAATGACCTGTTCACTTTTAGTGCCTTCGTTTCTACACCGAGAATCCAACTTACTATCATCAATACATTTTATAAAGGTAATTCAACTTGAACACTTAATATCTTGTTCATGACTGTACTCTGTACTTGAGAGACGACCGCAGATTTACATAGGGAGCATTTCTTTTTCAAATATATATTACGTCTAGTACCGGGATTTGAGTGAGATATATCAAATCGAGACCCGCTTTCACTCAACAAGTGACAAATAAGGATATAAGACCGTGACCCTTAACCGAAAGCCCACCTAAAATTTATACCTTTTAGGGAGTATATTACATAGCATTGACAAATAACTATTTCAGGCCGAACCTGCAGTCTTTTAAGTCTATTCTATCCTGTATGCCCTTTGATCATAGGTACTTTGTATATGTAGGATGAATACATTTGTGATTGAAAATCAGCGGCCCAGGCCACGACCTCGGAAGACACGAAAGCCGAAAGTCGTGCGCTTCATATGAACGGTAGTGGGAGCGCTAAGCAGAGCACTCAACGTTATTTGCAGTGAAGATGAAGAGGACCTATTGCCTATATGGGTTAGCATGGGTAATTACATAAGGAAACCACTTAACGCGTCGGTATAGGATCAACTATTATTCCGAAGACGCGTTCGCGTCGCGCCTTAGTTGCCCAAGGAGACCCGCCAAGGAGACCCACGAAAAACTAAGATAGCAAACTGAGTCTACGATATCATCTCTCCACATCTTTTTTTCACTCCTCGAGACGTGAGAGCTTAATACCCTTCTTTTCTACACTGGCCATTTTCAGGCCATTAGTTCTTCGTCATGTCTTCCCTTTTCGACGCTGTGATCCAGTCGGAGCTGGGCTCTGCGCCTTCTCGTGATCAAAACCTCCGATCCGACAATTTGCCCAGCTCCCGACGTTCAGAAAGCAATGGCCCTATGAGCGATATGAATGCCTTCCCAGACGACCAAGTCGTCGGAGCAGGAAGCTCGGCAGTCAGCCGTATGCGGAATCCATATGCCCCTGGCCCCTCACCGGTAGTCGATGAGGCCGCAGAGAAAGTCCAGCAGGCATTTGAAGAGCTGCTCGAGTCATACATTGATGAACCCTCGTCTTCTGCACCGCCCTCATCAGGAGAGTTTCTCAGTGACAAGTATTATATTGCTCAGATTAAGGGCATGAAAAAATTCGAGCTCTCAACTCTCTACGTTGATTTCACACACATCCTTAATCCCGTCTTGGCAGATGCCATTGCCGGCCAATACTACCGATTCCAACCCTTCCTTACTAAGGGACTGCACAATCTCATCGCCAAGTACGAACCAGAATACTTCGTCTCCCATCGAATGACTGCCAGCGCCTCTTCGCGAGCCAGTTCCTCAGTTGCCTCAGCATATGCGGTCGTTTCAGATAACCCCGACCTCGAGCGTCAGATCCGAGAGAAGACTCGCCACCAGCAAACGGACAAGTTGTTTGCCCTTGCATTTTACAACCTGCCTTTGGTTTCCAGACTGCGACAACTTCGGACGAATCAGATCGGAAAATTGCTTTCCGTCTCTGGGACTGTGACGAGAACTTCGGAAGTTAGACCAGAACTGTCACTGGGAACTTTTATCTGTGAAGGTTGTAAGACTGTCGTACCGAATGTTGAGCAGACTTTCAAGTATACGGAGCCGACGGAGTGCCCCAATAATACATGCGGCAACCGCGTGGGATGGCGCCTGGATATCGGGAAAAGTACATTTGTCGATTGGCAAAAGGTCAAGCTCCAGGAATCGTCGCACGAAATCCCGACTGGTAGTATGCCACGCACAATGGATGTCATCTTGCGTGGTGAGATGGTTGATCGCGCCAAGGCCGGTGAACGTTGCGTCTTTACAGGAACGCTGATTGTCGTCCCTGATGTCAGTCAATTGGGTCTCCCCGGTGTGCGCCCCGAGGCTGTCCGCGATAACAATTCCTTCCGGGGTAACGAGGTCGGTGGCAGCGGAGTCTCTGGATTGAAATCTCTGGGCGTGCGTGATCTAACTTACCGATTGGCCTTCCTTTCTTGCATGGTTACCCCAGACACAACGACTCCTGGCCAGAAGCCAGAGCAGCAGCTGAGTGGCCAGTCCAATAATATCCTGGCTTCCTTGAACCAGAACCAGGAGGCTGATATTGGGGATGAATCAGCCCAAGAAGCTTTCCTGCAAAGTCTTACCCCGGCTGAAGTCCAGGATCTCAAGCGACTAGTGCACTCTGAATATATTTACTCCCGACTTGTGGACTCGATTGCCCCAATGATCTGGGGTCATCGTCAAATCAAGAAGGGTCTGCTTTTGCAGTTGATTGGTGGTGTCGGCAAGTCGACATCGATTGAGAGCCTGAAACTTCGTGGTGATATAAACATCTGTATTGTTGGCGATCCGTCGACCAGTAAGAGTCAGTTCTTGAAGTAAGTTTTGCACACTCCTGACACGTAGATATTACTGACAGGGTTCCTCAGATACGTCTGCTCACTGCACCCTCGTGCAGTATACACCAGTGGTAAAGCCTCTTCGGCGGCGGGTTTGACCGCTTCGGTTGTGAAGGATCCCGAGACAGGCGAGTTCACCATTGAAGCTGGTGCACTGATGCTTGCAGTATGTTCCAAATGTGGCTCCAATCAAGTGTGGGTTCGTCGCTGACATTTTCCCTTATAGAATGGTGGTGGTATTTGTGCCATCGATGAGTTTGACAAAATGGATGTCGCCGATCAGGTCGCTATTCACGAAGCCATGGAACAGCAGACAATCTCTATTGCCAAGGCTGGTATCCATACTACTCTCAATGCCCGCGCATCTATCCTCGCTGCCGCCAATCCGGTGAATGGTCGCTACGACCCGAAACAAACCCTTCGGAACAACTTGAACTTCAGCGCTCCCATTATGAGTCGTTTCGATGTGTTCTTTGTTATCCGTGATGATCCAAAGGAGTCTGTTGACCGCAGTTTAGCCGAGCACATTGTCAACGTGCACATGAACCGCGATGAGGCTGTTGAGCCCGAGCTGAGCACAGAACAACTGCAGCGCTACATCCGCTTCGCACGCACATTCCGCCCCGTCTTCACTGACGAGGCGAAGGCACTCCTAGTCGAGAAATACAAGGAACTGCGCTCCAACGACGCCCAGGGAGGTATTGGCCGCTCTTCATACCGTATCACCGTTCGTCAGCTCGAGTCTTTGATCCGTTTGTCCGAGGCTGTTGCCAAGGCCAACTGTGTCGAGGAGGTCATTCCTAAGTTCGTCATCGAGGCATACGATCTTCTCCGTCAGAGTATCGTGACTGTTGAGAAAGATGATGTTGAGATTGAAGATGATGTGCCTAGTCGCACCAACGACGCTGATGAAGACCAGGAGATGGCTGATGGCGGCAACGAGGGTGACAGCCCTATGCGCGACGTCGCAGAGCCAGCTCAAGCTCCTGCCCAACCGGAACGCCAGAAGACCAAGATCACTTACGACAAGTACGCCAAAATCCTGAACCAGATAGTCAGGCGGGTACACGAGGACGAGGTGAACTCGGGCGAAGGTGTCGAGCAAGAAGATCTTGTCCTCTGGTACTTGGAGCAAATTGAGGGTGAACTCAACACCGAAGAAGATTATGAGCGCGAGCGCGATTTGGTTGGCAAGGTCTTGAAACGCATGGTCAAGGTTAGTCGCTCTCTCTTTGCTATGGCAATACCTATAAGTTTCCACCAAGTACATGTCACTAACGAAGTTATTCTATAGGACAAAATCCTGTTGCGTATTTCCGGGTCTGGCCTCACAGATGGAACTGAGAATGCCCAGCAAAATGATGGAAAGGTCCTTTTCGTCATGCATCCGGATTGTGCCTTTGAGGAGATGTGAGATGAGATTGTGCTTTTTGTCTCTTGATTATGTTGTTCTTTTTCTTATTTCGTACTGTCTGTATTCCAGGGCTGGGCTATGTTGAGCATTTTCAATGGGTTAAATAGAAGGAGTCAGGGGTTATGAGTGACGATATCCGTTTAGCTGCGTCTTATGTTTGATAGGACATGAATGGTACTGAATTCAAATATGTCAAGTTACATTTATATTGAATGGAGGAAATGATTTCGCAAAAGCCTGTTCTTTTCTGTCCTATTGGGATCGTGACCGGCGGTCCTGCTATGCTCTGGCATCTGTTGAGCATCGCCCATCCTTTTCTTGGGTTCTGGTATTGGCATCTAGAACCCGGTAGAAATATTCATTACGGTCTTTATTTCGGAACCTGCGAACATCAAAGGCTCTAAAATTGTCGAATCCGTAGAAGCAATTGAAGACGAAGCAAGCCAACCATCCGAAAAGTCTTGTATTCCCTCTCGTTGAGAAACTCGGTGCATCAAATCCCGGGTGTTTCAAAGGCCGAGAATTCACCTATCTCGAACAATTGATCGGTTTGCATTCTGTAGTAGGGGCGAAATTGGGTTCCTCGAGTAGACTGGCTTCCAGCGCATGCTCTTTTCCTTTGTACACCCAGTCCTCGGAGTGAGAAAGTCGATCTCTCGGGATTTATACGGGGGCAAACAATATCCAAAAAGACGTATTAGTTAGAAATCTCGAAACTATCACCTTAGCCAAATGGATCAAGATAAGCCACAGCGTCTGCAGCTCCACTATTGCCACGCGCAGCAGGTTCCGGACGGACGGAGAGGGGGACGAAGAGGAGCATGCTTGCTGCTCCCGAGAGCTGAGAGGGACTTGGCAAGTTGCTGATACGCTCACGGACGGAAGGACAACTGTCCAGTTTCGTCAACCGTGGATGCATCTTGCTGCGTATCCCAGGAGGCGGCATATTTGATGCCTTTTTGAAAGAAGAACCTCAACCCCCTAATGGAAGCCATAGTTGTAAAAGTCCCGAATGGCTTTGGCGACAACATGTTTGCAATTTCCCGCAGTTCCTCCTGCGTCAATAGTGCTAGAAGTCTGGTAAATTCTTGTCATGAGCGGGAACAGCTGGTGCAGCGAAATTGACATGCAGACTTTTCTGCACTGGCAGACCAAGGATAGTCATAATGTCGGCGAGCTCTGTGGACGTTCTCTGGCGGTACGCTTGTCGCGTCGCCACCTCATGCTCCAGTATTTGAGCTTTGTGAGAAACATTATAGAGGGAATGCACGATGGGAACTATCGGGTAATGTTAGCGAGGTTTTAATCTTAGCTGAGCCAGAAGTAGCAACCGGCACGCTGGACGATCTTCTGGGTTCATGTCGACTCCACCCCGGCCGTGTAAATGAGGCTTTATAGGTAACAGCCTGCCATATAAAGGCAAGGAGGAGCTGATTACAACAGACCTCTGGAAAGTTATATCCCGTGGAGCTTGAAATAAAAAGAAATATATATATATACGGTGCGTCGCCAGATAGTAAGGGACGGTAGAAAATGGACAAAAGTTGATTCACTTCCTGAGGCGTTCAAAGGTATTTATAATTCCAATTTGATGAAAGAGCTTTACTATGCCTTCTAGTTGGGACCATGGAAGAAGCAAGCATGTCTCAAGTGCGCCCCGATATCTACTGTGAACGTCTCTTTCAACGCGTCTATCCAATCCTAAAGACGATCCAACCCGAAAGACATGCCACTGTTCTCACTATATGTAGTGGTACCACGCACTCCACCCATATCGGTGGTCCGACCAGGTTGCATAGGAAGGTAGATGGTTCATTTGTAACCCCGACCGCTACCTGCAACATGGGTACATATGTAGATGCGTAATGATTCAAAGTATTGGCAGTCAGAATTCGTTATAAGGCAACAAAATCGACAAGACAGCTTTGGTATTTCAGTGGTAGAATACTACTCTTCCATCTCACTTTCCTGAAGTGCTGATAAGTAGTGGCCGGGGTTCGATTCCCCGTCAATGCATGAAGCCATATTTTTTGAAGACAAATCTTTTTAATAACATCAATTTGTTCGCTGAATAGTTGATAGGCTTTTGTTGCCAGCTAGACAAAGTAGATTTTGCACAGATATTGAGCCTGAAAACTACATATATATGTACATACATGTATGTACTATTGAAATACCGACAAATTCCGATCAATGGATATAATCCCAAGAAGTTACTAACTCCTATGATCATGGTCAGCCCATAGTTCAATATAAGTGGATAAAGATCCTTAATATAATCGTGGTACCACCTACCCGGTGTTGGTGGCCACTCGATAACCGATTTTCAAATCATGTATCTTTTGTATAGCAACTCTATACAAAAGTACCGGTACATAAACACAAATTGAGCATAACTCAACTCTCAAACTAGCTAAAGAAAAAGTAAAGAGGCCAGGTTATAATATGAGTCTAGTTTAGTCGATCTAATAGGAAAATTAATTCTATATAGAAGCCTAAGGAGCATTTTCAAAAAAAAAAAACCACGTATAACCTTAGAAATATTGCGTAAAAAGAAATAAAAATATTCTCTCACTTTACATACTTGAGATTTCCCTACTATAGTTAATAGTATATGATTAGGACATGATTTACACTACATATATATCTTCTGATATCCCCTAACCCTTTTACATGTTGAGTGATGCTCAATTTATGTTTATATACCTTTTGTATAGAGTTGTTATACAAAAGACACATGATTTGAAAATCGGTTATCGAGTGGCCACCAACACCGGGTAGGTGGTGGCGGGCGTGCCACGATTACCACTTAGAATCTTGCTCAAATAACGTATTTCACTACTGAGTGACGCAGTCCGATACATATAGTAAATGCGATAAACTGCAACCTTGTATGTCAACAACAACGTCCTTGTTTGATTTTGTATTTACTCGACAGCTGTCGATAAGCATTTTAAATGATATATATGAATTTCAAGGCAATTAAAAAGTTGCAATATCATGGTATCGAAAATTACATCGCTCTAAGCCAGAAATATACATATCCTCATCACCAAGTTATAAAAATTCTCTAGACTCTATAGTGAGGCTAGATATTACCTAAAAACCATT